CCCCAAAACCCCAAAACCCCAAAACCCCTGAATATTAGATAGAAGAAGCATCTTGAATCATAATTTATAATTAATTTTATGTTATATCTAATCGTATCTTTCCTAAACCTTTGTGCCATAATAGTTTAAATAATTAAGTAACTTCTCAAATAGAAACTTATTAATCTTCAGTGCTAACATCATTAAGAGGTCCTATGAGTGATTCCTGAATGTTAATTTTATCGTTGTTATTGCTCAGACTAATGCTGTTTTCATTTTAGAATATGCTAGCATTATGAACTGCATTCAGTTGATCTCTTTGCTATTCATTTCCAAGTATAAATGGTAAATTTATCATTCCTTTTGGTCTTGCATGATTTGGCAGCTTCTTGAAGAACTGATTAAGATCAGGCAATTTAGCTTGGAAATCAATAGAATGCTCGACTTTGTTACTTCTTTTCTTCTTGAAGCTTCCTCCAAAACTGCCTTCTTAGTTACTTCTCCCGCTATTTATAACGCTCAAAGCTCTTTCCAAATTATTTCCAGTCTTTGATAAAATATTTCTTGGACTAGGGCTATAGTTCCGATCAAAACTTTAGTTGAATGGGCGATCTTAATCATAAATACCACTGCTATTAGCTAATGCTATTGAATTTTCGAGGAGCTTTTTGTGAGCCATTTGCTAGTTTTTATCCATATGCTTCTGCATTTTAGGGCACTTTTCAATCTTTTTCCTATATGAATTTGGATTAGTTTAAGATTGCAAAGATTGAAAGTGCTTATTGTCAGCCGTTAATGAAGAAAATCTTTATTTTTTGAAAGAATGAAGTTGAAATGATGAATCTAATATCTTTTGAGGATGCTAGATAACGCTAATTTCCTTTTTAGTGAGACTTAAATCTCCACGAGGAGACATTTCATCTATCTCTTCTCTGATTGAGAAGTTATTCAAATTTGAATTTCTGAAGCTGTGATTGAAAGAACGGTTCTGACTTTTCCTCATCGCATCCAGCTATTTACTGGCTGTACTATGCTTTGATGGAGATTAAAGCATATCCAGAAGGGATACTTGATCCCTAGTCGAAGGCATTCCATTAAGTCTTGAGGATACTTGCATCAGTAGACTGGTCCTCCCTTAATCAATGTCAAGTTCTCTAATATGTGTCTGCACCTGCTATTCCACAAAATAAAGATTTTTCATTTTCTTAGGGAAGGTCTTAGGGTTATCTTTAATCATCTATCGAAGCGACTTTAAGTCCATCAGTTGATACTGATCGTAGTGTGTAGATGTCTTTTTGTCTATGTTAGTTGAGAAGTTACCATTATTTTTCAAGAAAAAGTTGTACCTCTCCTTATCCCAATAACTTTTATGCGGCTGATCCTCTAGTGCAAGGACATTTCGCCTAGGTGATTCGTTAAGCACTGGCTTTTCCATACCCCATCCAATCTTGCCGACAAAGTTTTGATCAACCATTAGAGAAATAGATTTACCGTGATGTGAACGTATTAAATCATTTGGATAGTATTGTTTGTATTTATTGAAAGAATTGTAGTTTGGGTTCGGAGTTTAGGTAAGTTAAGGCTTCAAAGTAATTGAGGCAGAGGGCAAAATGGGAGACTGAGTAATTGAATGAGATTTATGGTGGTGCTAATGGTAAATTGGTGCTTGTGTTTGATAGTGCTGTGCTAATGCTGCTTACTACATTATTTTTTGTACAACTCCTTTATTTTATATTTCTTTTTTATTTTTTTACATCAAAATCATTCAATCTTAAATTCAGGGGTTTTGGGGTTTTGGGGTTTTGGGG